ACTAACAAGGAAAAATAAGCAACTCTTAATACCCTAATATCAGTCAACACATAAAATTAGAGTTCAACAATTCATAAGCAAAAGAAAAAGGGTTTTCATGACCTAAGTCAGAAACAAGAACAAAAATAATTCATAAAAGAATGCTAAATATAGACAATAAAGCAAACGAAAATAATTTCCTAATAATTCTCCTCTCGATCCTTCATATTCCTGCTCCATGTCAGCCCTCTGGCCTTCAAACTGACTTATGGACTCTCAAAACCACAACTTTGATATTCCCTCTTGAGTATGATATCGTTGGGTCAAGGATATTGACCTATTTATAATAACTTTGATGACATGAAAGACGCGGTGCGTAGATGTGTTTGACGTGTCTCGTGTTGCGAATTTCTTCGAGAGTTTCCAACTGATTTGTGTGCCACGCGATATGTTTATGGAGTTGGATGCAGCGTGTTCTCTCTAAATTCCTCAAGTTGTTGCTAGTTTAGTTCCAACTCAACTTCCAGCTCCAGTTTTTGCTCCTTTTAGCATCGCAACGTACTTTATCTACAAAATATTAATTCAAAACATTGTAAGTAAATTTTTATCCAAATTTACAGTTAAAACGAAGCTTAAAGTACATGATATCGCACAAAATATATACACAATTAAAACGATATCAATTGGGGGCATTGACATGTTGCTAGACGTTTAACATTGTTTGTGTAGTTATATATTCTAACTGCTTACACAAAGGAGACTTTTGGAAATTGTATGCAATGAATAAACTACTTAGTATACTACTGATTATTTGTGAGACTATACGGTCACAGAAAGAAAAGATCAATAGTAAACAATAAATACTTGATAAATTTTTGTATTTATCAACTGAAAATAAATAAATAAAAATAAAATAGTGTTTATTTCATTTATATATTATATCCACATTTTTAAAAAAATGGGTTATAAAGGAGTTTTTATTAATTTCGGCCTGCTTTAATTGATGGACTAGTAAAGGTTTTAGAAGCCTTGTCCAACAAGTAAAGCATATATAGAAGGTTGGAAGATTAGGTTAATCAGTGGTACTAAACAACAAGTTCCAAAATCCTAATCCTCCACATCATTGCCCAAAATGCGGCCTCCTCCCTCTTCTATATGATGTTCGGCACAACCCATGAGCAACAATGAAGTGAATGAGTATTTGATCATGCTTAGATATAGCAGTCACATGGATTGGCTTATGTAAGCATAAAATGTATGTACTTTGAACACTCCATGGTTGATTAAGTTGGTAAAATTACGTCTAACTTGATCCATGGTTTGGGGTTGTTAAAATTTTGATTTGTCATTTCCATTGTGCAAACTTTTTTTATGAATGTTATTGGTTAACATCAAACCCCAATAGCCAGGAGCCTCTTAATGTTCATTGACATTGATTTTACCTGTTGAGTGAATTCACGTATATATATTCTACTACAAATGGGAGGTGTATACAAATGCCTAGAACTTTGTGCATACATATTAATTAAGGTCCCGGAAGTTTGCACTTAATACACCTACAATTCTTAAGAAGTTTAAGAAGATTCATTATCATTTTCAAGCAACTCGTCATTTCTGAATTGCATGTAAACCCAGATCGTAAGAGTTCGAAGGGAAATTGATAAAACTTTTTCTTTTATAATAGTATAGGCAGAGAGAGACAAAAATGCATGTTTTTATTCATGTAATGTTCTGCATCAGCAACAAAATACAGATTTATTTTGCAATCTCATTAAATGTTAACCTCATCTTTGTTAATCCCTTTGTAATCAATAATAACAATATTCTTCCCTCTTTCTTTGTCTTTCTTTAGGTTTTCGCACACGTTTGATTGTAATAGATAAGTTTTATTTGGATAATATTCTAAGATCAACTCCAGCCTTAATACTATAACGCACTAAAACTTTTTCATCTCGACATATTGAAATTTTTACACTAAAAACTTATTATAACTAATAATTAAATACTTTTGTATCCAATTATTGTTTAAAGTTTTATAAATATAAAACTCAATACCTGTGGATAATGCACCACTAAAATGACGACTTCATGTTCATTGACACAAAAGATGTGTGGGATATAGATGTCCTTTGAGATCTTTGGGCTCGTACTTTTCTAGTTTTTAGTCCCAATGGAAAAAGTTTAAGTCTGTCAACAAAATACAAATATAAATTTGTCATGTCATCAAGTGTTGCTCGTTTTGAAAACAATATAAGACCAACCGGTTAAACCAGGAACTGAAACTGGACCAGATATCAGTTCATCCGACATAAAAAATCGGTTGTTTTTTATTCAGTACCGGCCAGTTTAGTCAAAAACAGGTCAAAACCAATACACTTTAACCTTTCAAAACCGAAATTTTCAAATTTTGGTAAATACTAAAAAAGCTAGGAATCTTTTGGGTTAAAGACGCGCAATTTAATTATTATGTGCCATTTTATTTAAGTAGCGAGTCCACATGATGAAAGCCTTTTTAAGAAGGCTCGGCTTCATATTTCTTAGTCTATTCGGAGTGGGCAACGGAGAGGGGTGTTATGCCCATGTGGCATCCAAAAACGGCGCCATAACGGAAGGAACACCCCCCCCCCTAGCCGTTATTTGGTGTTATGTTACCGGGTGTTATCGTGAGCACGGGAGGTAACGCGAAAATTTGCTTCAATTTTTATTCAAACGGTCACAATTTCGACCTTTTAAAAATGGTCACCGGCGAAAAAAAAATCAAATATTATATACACTATAAATACACATAATTTATATCAAATTTACATACAAAATACATCAATTTCTCTCACAATTACATATTACTTTCAATAATTCAAAACCAAAATATGGATCGTTTTGATCTGGCCCATCCGTACAACGATGATAACAACGAAGACGATATCTTCGTGAGTATGATGTACCTATATTATACATACAGGCTACTACAGCCAGATTCAGCCCCACTACTCACACGACGTGCGGCGTTAAATAGAGATCGTGAGGAAGGGCATAGACGGCTAGTTAACGATTACTTTGCGGATAATTGTGTCTACCAGCCAAGCGATTTCAAAAGAAGGTTTCGTTTGCGAAAAAATGTGTTTGAAAGGATAGCCAACGTCATGGAAGCAAGGTATCGTTTGTTTCAAGTTTTCTAATTTATAAATGTCACTTTTAGATAAAATAAATACAATTTTTACATGTTATATATATATATATATATATATATATATATATATATATATATATATATATATAGGTATGAATTTTTCCAATTGGAATATGATGCTAAAGTTAAACGAGGCTTCACAAGGTTGCAGAAATGTGTTGGTGCAATTAAACTTATGGCAATGGGGGAGTCGTCCGATTCTATTGACGATTATATGAGAATGTCTGAAATGACCGCACGGAAAGTCTGTATTTATTGGCAAGATGTGTTGTCGAAACCTTCGGTGACGAATACTTGCGCAAACCTTCGTTGCATGATATGCAACAATTATATGCGGCGCATGAAGAAAGACATTGTTTTTCGGGTATGCTTGGAAGCATTGATTGCACACACTGGAACCGGAGAAATTGCCCCGTGGCGTGGAAAGGTCAGTATTCGAGCGGTCATCATGAAGCGCCTTCGTTGGTATTAGAGGTTGTTGCTTCACAAGATTTGTGGATTTTACATGCTTATTTCAGGGTTGCGGGTTCCAACAACGACGTCAACGTTCTCGATCAATCACCAATATTTGATGATCTTTTGTCAGGAAAAGCACCGGACGCTCCTTTCATAGTGAATGGAAATGAATATAAGTTTGGGTATTACCTTACAGATGTAATATATCCACTATATTCCACGTTTGTGAAGGCGTTTTGACGCCTAATAGACCCAAGAGACAAATATTTCAAGAGACGACAAGGAGCACGTAAGGACGTTTAACGTGCTTTTCGGGTTTTGAAATCAAAATGACATATAGTTGAACATGCGGCGAGACCTTATGAGTTAACTACTCTACGAGATATCATATATGCATGTATCATAATGCATAACATGGTTGTCGAAGATAAAGGACGCAATATTGCAACGTATTCGCCTACGGAACGTAGACACGTGCAATTTCAACCAGAGACATCAGAATATTTACATAGAGTGGTTGATATTCAAGACCAACGAAAACACAAGCAACTCCGTGAAGACTTGGCGGATTACATCTATGTTGGTCACGAAGATGAATAGTTTAGGTCAAAAAAATGTAGGTTTTATCATCCTTTTTTGTTTTATAGGGTTTTAAATGTGTGTCTTTTGTTGTAATTTTTTTAATGTTGTTTTCAATTTAAGATTTATTAAATTTTATTTTTACTTTTCAAATATTATTTTTAATTTATGATTTAATTTATATGATAAATATAATTATTATGATATAAAAAAGAAAACAAATTCGAAATATAGAAAAGGAAAACTAAAAAAAATCAAAAAATAAAAATAAAAAATAAATGGTGTTATCACATGTTATTAGATGTTGCTCATTTCCACCTTGAGTGTTATAACACATATTTTGGGTGTGGTAACATGCAATAAAATGTTGCACACACCCAGCAATTTTATACTTGGTCGAATACTATCTTATTATTTATATAACTTTTCTTCTCTTTCCAAATTTATGTTTAAATTCATTTGATATTAAACCGGTTTTTGGGACCGATCAATTGAACCATAGGTAACATAGCCGGTTCGGTTTTCAAAAAATTGGTGTTACCATAAGTCAGATTAGGTTGTATTTTAAATAAACATTTTTACATTCATATAAATAGTATTGGAGATTTGTCATTCAATAAAAAAGTTGAAAATTTTGTTATAAGTTTTCATAAATAAATAAATAGCTAACATAGTCGAGGAACGTATTACGTATGATGGGGTTTTTCCAACATTAACCCAAATTAAACAAATACTAGTACAACAAAAACAAACAAAGATACTCTAAAACCAAGTAGTCAATATATTTCTACAATCTACAACCACCAGTCCACCACCAATACGTATATAACAACAACAATGACTTTTGCTAAATAAAAAAATGACCAAATCCAAATCTACAGTTTTTTTTTTTTTTTTTTCGTTTTTTACATAAAGACAAGCGTGTGTGTAATGATGATGTTAAAAGGAAAGGCATGAACCTGTTTGTTTTGTTTGTTAAAATCGAAGTCAAGATTGTTCAAGAACTCAAGTCCTTTGCCTGACCCGCCTCCCATTTGTATCTCCACCATCTGAAAGCTGACCACAAACACTGCGCGACTTGCCGCCACCACGACCACCACCACTGTTACTGCTACAATCATCATCCTCACACCCTGCAACTGTTTTCAGAAGCTCAGACTGCAGTTTCGGACATTTCTCTTTCAGATACTCAAACCCATCTGATCTCATAACCGCTGCAATCAATAACAAACATTAAGCATTCTCATATCATATGATAGACTATGTTTACATGCACAAAAAATTATTGAATATAATAACACAAATCCGTAATACATTTAGTTACATTAAACTAGCAAATAACAATTCTACAATTATTTATGTGTGAGTGAGACTTGTTATATCCCATATCATATTTAATATATATTCACATCACATCTGTATTAGTCATTCCTTCGAATATACTAATATAGTTATCAACAGTACATTCCTCTATTATCACATCTATTTCAGTTTTTCACTAAACTTTGGCATTTTGTTTAGAGTAAATTACACGAATGGCCCCTATGGTTTAGGGTAATTTGCATGTTTGGTCCCCAACTTATTTTTTTAACTCGGAAGGTCCCTACTATTTGTTTTTGTTATGCGCTTGGTCCCTCTTGTTTGTTTTTGTTACGCGTTTAGTCCCCTAAAAATATTATTATTTAAATAGGGAAAAATGATGGGGTAGGTAAGGTAAGGTGAGCGGGTGGGGTGAGGTTGGGGGTGTGTTTATTTAAATAAATTAAAAAATCAAGGGAAAAATAGTCTTTTTAGGTAAGACAGGGACCAAACGTGTATCAAAAACAAATAGTGGGGACCTTCCGAGTTAAAAAAATAAGTTAGGGACCAAACATGCAAATTACCCTAAACCATAGGGACCATTCGTGTAATTTACTCTTATTTAAATAAACACACCCCCAACCCCACCCCACCCCCTCACCTTACCTACCCCACCATTTTTCCCTATTTAAATAATAATATTTTTAGGTAAGACAGGGTAACAAAAACAAACAAATAGGGACCAAGCGCATAACAAAAACAAATAGTAGGGACCTTCCGAGTTAAAAAAATAAGTTAGGGACCAAACGCGCAAACTACCCGAAACCATAGGGACCATTCGTGTAATTTACTCTTATTTTTATAATTATTGAAATTGTGTTTTCATGTGCTTGTGCACACTAAATGAAGTTACAATAGCTTGCGCCTGGCTTTTTGAAGTACAAAGCTTTAATAAGAAAAAAGGTTAAAAGTGAAATGTCGGAGTAGAAAGAAGTGAAAGTAGGATGCTATTGCTATCCTATAATAAAAGTAGAATCACTTAAACTTGGTAATAGAAATACTACAAACAAAAAAAAAAAAAAAAAAAAAAAAAAAAAAAAACACACACACACACACTTTTGTATAATGAGAGTATTGTATACCTGCAAGGTTTTCAGCAGCAAATCTTAAGCAAACAGCTTTCAATTCTGTGGCATGATAACGATCAGCAAGTGCTAGAGCTCTACCAACAGAATTGACAGATATACCCTTACAAAGATGAGATTCACACATCCTTCTAAGTCTCCCCAAATCATACTTATCAGCAGCAGCTAACAACTTGGCTATCAACGAATCAGACACACAGGTTTCAGAGAAACAACTCGATCCCAACTCATCTTCCATAAGGGCATCTCTGTAAATAAAGTGTAACATAGCCTGTTCCACAATACTCCATGAATAAAAATCTCAACAAAATCTTACTATTACTACTTTTCATAGATTACATTACCTTAAAAACTTTTGGTTCCATGTCAGCAACATCAATCTCATCATGTTCATCTCCATCTTGCTTGAAGAATACAGACCGAAATACTGGTGATCGAGCAGCCAAGACCAACTTATGGGCATGGAATTTTTGTCCAGATACATTGAACACAACATCTGAACCTTCTTTGTTATCCAACAACATACCAAAATGTGATCCAATATCAGATTCTGGTACCTTAATTGAATGTAACCTAGGACAATCTACTGCTGACACCACTACTCCAACAGTACAGTTGATTCTCAAACAGTCATCTTTCAGATAATCTGAACTCTCAAGAAGAGCTCTCCTGTAGAACCGCTTGTATCCCCTAACACCTCCAAAACAACAACTTGGCTTTAGTAAAATAAACTAATAAAAACCATCAACCCCTTATTTTGATTAATATTCATGAAAAAGATTTATTACAAACAACATAATTATCTACTGCTAAGAAAATCTAATTCTATAAAGAAGAATCTTGCCTACACCAAAAAAAGTAACTTCCTATCTTAGATTTCCGATTAAGAAATTTTTTTGAAAGGATTTTGACCTCTAAAGTTCTCATTGCAATCAACACTAAATGATCATATGTTTGTCATAAGTCAAAACAGAGTTATCTACAAGTAAACAAACTAGATGGACATTAATTTCTACTCCAAAACCATCATTTCTAATTTTCTTCAACCATTATAATGCATAATGTTTGAACAACAGTCACAATACTGGGAATTGGAAGTAGGCAAATGATAATAAGAAGTGACTGCAACTATGATAACTCCTGACTGAATAAGAATGCCTAAAACAATTTATGCTTATTTTTTATTTCCTAATAAACGTTGGTACATTTAGAATCATTAAATTTCCCAAGGTTCATTTTTCCATAAGGTGTTGGACTCCAAACCATCATAGTATTTCAAGTCTTGCACATATGTGACTAATCAGTTACACTTCTAATTAACGGTTACGTCTTGATGCAAGGTATCTAGGTCCAAAACAACCAATGGAAAAGGTTGCTTAAAGAAGCCACACATAATAAAGAACACCATCATTAACTAAAATGTTATAATGTGATAACTAACAACACTTGTGCATATGCAATCTTTATAGCTATCCTGGTTTAAATGTGTACAAGATAGTGGTATTCAGGCGTTATGTAGCTATAAACAATCTTCTATCCAATATACAATACCTCAATATTTGAGGATGAAAGTCAATGTTTATAAGTAAGGTTGACTATTTCAACAAAAAAATGGGCCAAGATATGCTTATAGTAAGCTCGCTGATCCTAGAAGTATAAGATCCAAAGAGAAGTTTGAATCTAAGGAGATAATCTTACGCTAGATTGCACACACGTTTTGCTCATGGTGAAACAGAATCCTATAGGAGATATTACACAAGATTCCTACGAGAAATTTCATCTGACTAGAAAATTCTTAGATTCTTAAGCAAATTCATGTGAAATCATCAAAGGGCCCGCTAGGTTATATAAGATTCACCATAAAAATTGCAAAACCAATAAATACATATATTAGCACAGGGAATCAAAGAAGACTGATTATTCAATATAAAAACCTACCACATGCTGCCTCGGTATTTCAATGTATACGGACCACTCTCCAAAGACCGATCAAAATGGCTATGAATCTTGTGCTTCTCTTTGCCACTCTGATCCACCAGAGTCAACTCGAACAACGCCCTCACATCGGTGCCCTCGCTGGCAAGTGCAATGAAGACTGAAACATATGTCGAATTGTCTTCAGGGTTTTTCCCATCAGGGTAGAAGTATATCGCCCACTGATAACCTCCGATCGTGAAATTATCGCTAGCTATGTGTTTTCCAATTCCCATACCCTTGGCTAACGAATAACCCTGTATAACGAAATGGTGAGAGCCATTCACCGTCTCCGTGATCGACCGGGAGCTTGTGGGTGAGTTGACAAGGGCGTTTTTCTCATTATCCGACATTATAGTTGGTTAAGGTTGGGAAAATTGAAATTCATGGAAGATTAGGTTAAACTGAGACCTGATTTCAACCAGAATCAACTAGATTCCTCGGGAGTCGGGAAAGATAATTGAGGTCGAGGGGAGATCGTGGAATTTTAGGGTTTTGTTTCTCGCTCTAAAAATGATGAAATGCTCTTTGGCAGCATACTTGTATTGTCCCTAAAGCATCAAGTATGCTGTTTTTATATTTTTCTTAACAAAGCAAAAGGAAAAAAGATATAAATTACTCTTGATCCTAAAATGTTTTGTTAATAATTATTAACGATGGTTCACATAATCACATTTTATTTAGTTAAAAAAAATGCAAAGGATGAAACTAATATAATATTTTTATATAGTCTAGGTAATAGGAGTAATTAAAGTAGGGGAAAGAAATTTTATAAATTTAAGATGGTAAATAAAAACAAGTCTTACAGCATCTTACATTATCAATCTACATCTCCTTCGGTCTCTCATTATTCATATATCTTTGTACTGCTACTTATGATACAAAGAAGCTGAGTGGGTCAGGTTGGAAAATCTGGTGAGTACATAGGGTTTTCAACCCACAATAATATAGTTAATAATCTCCCTAATAAATGAAGATCAATTTTGTCACATGTCAATCTCTCATAAGTTTTGACACTTGTCATTTTATGATATTTTTAAAATAAAATAATATTCACATGTCAATTTCTAGATTTTTTCAATTTTTAAAAATTAAAGTCACATAATACTTATATTTATATATGTAAGTATTAAATGTAATAAATGTGATAATAAATTGCAATTAATATGTTTTTCATTCTTTATTTCAAAATTTTAATTTAAAAAATATTTATTGTTTACATTTTGATAATTAATCTTTTTTTAATCAACCCGTGTATTACACGGGTTTTACACCTAGTATTTAATTATCAAACATTTAACTCGATTACTCATCATTGTTTACTTCTTTATTCTTCCCTAAGGATCTATCCTAAGGGTTTATCATAGTCATCATTGCTAACAGTATTATTACTGGGATTTCTACGCAATATGTGTCAGTAGGTTTTCATTCTATTTTATTTCCTAAGGATTTTTCCTAATGATCATTTTAATCATCGTTGCTGCCAGTATTGTTATAGGAATTTCTCTGCAATACATGGCAGTTAGTTAAAGTATATCAAATGGGCACGAAGTCCATCGTTGCCTGGGTTCCATGGGACTGTCATCAATTAATCTGGTGGTTGTCATATATACTATCCTAAGCGACTACATCATTTGTACACTAGTACTATTCCTACATCATTAGTACATTAGTACTAGTTCTACATCGTTGGTACACTAGTACCATTTCTAAAGTCGTGGCATTCTATCACTGCCTAGATCTTTCATCATACTATGGTATCTTATCTTTCATCATACTATGGCATCTATTACTACCCTTCGTACGAACTCTGTTTTCGAATGTCTTTTATCGACGGGTTCATATTTACGAAAATCTTCAATTCTCATTTAGATTGTTTTGGCTAACAATCAACCAATTTGAATTTCAATTTCTATGCTCGCACTACTAAACCGAAACTTTAAAAAATCATAACTTCCTCTCATGAAGTCAGATTTGCACGTTATCCATATACACGCTCTCGGTTTAACGACTTTCATTTAGATGACTTAGGCTAAAAAGTAATTTATCAAATTTTCACTTTTTTATGATACGCAGCGTCGTGTCGATTTAATCATGAAACTTTGAAGAAGCGTAACTTCTTCATACGAAGTCGGATTTTAGCGTTCTTTATATGTACGGAATCCTTGTCACATATACTATCAAAAAGTCATTTGTAACGCTTATTATATCTTAATTGACTAGCCCGAATCTGCGGGTGTTACAATTATCTCCCCCTTAAGATGATTACATCCTGGAATCATCAACAAAACAAAGCTTGCATAATGACTCCACACGTTACCTTTCTACCCTAGGTAATAATCATAATTCTTATGTCCTTTTAAATTAGTTTCTAACTCTTAGACTGAATGACGGTTGATGGTGCTTAATCTTACATCGGCTCTCCATTCTAAATTTGATCTGCATCAGAGACTCTTGCTCCTTCTTGAGCAGACTTATCATAATTACTACCGTAATGGATCGATGGGTCATGTTCTAATGACCTCTCATCATATGATGCAATGGCTAGACTCAGGTCTCTTTGGGTTAGACTCTAGTATGAAAGATACATCCCTTCATGTTCTTGTTAGCTTTTCTACGCATCAAATACACTGTAAACTATGTAGCGGAAAAATCGAAACTAAGATATACCTAAGTGTACATGCAACCTATGGATCTATGGCTTCATGCTAATTACATCTACCCTAGAAAACAAAATTACAAAGAAGAAAAACATACCTCTTATGTATCCCTTGATCCCCATGCTTGAGATCTTGATCCTCCATGAAGTTGCTTGGATGACAGGACCCAAACCAGAATCCCTCTAATGGTATCACACCCAATGACACCAAAGAGTGGAATGAAATAACTATAAGGGTCAATTTCACAAACCCTAAGAAGGTTAGAAATCGTCCCTAAGAGAGGGAGGAAGAAGGGTTGGTGAAACTTTAAGCCAAGGTGCAAGGAGGAATGAAATCCCTAAGGCCCTATTTATAGCCTTTGATCCCTTCCTAGGTTTTGTACTCCTTCCCATGTGGGACAAGGAGCCTAAAACGAAATTCACTCTTTTCCCCATGTGGGATAGAGTATTTTCATCCGACCCTAATTCCATAAGGGTTCTGGAACATTCCTGATTAACCAAATATTGATTAATGAATATTCAACCCTTTAATTAATTAAACTGTTAATTAATTCCCAAAATATATTTCCAACTAATTTTCTAATTAATTATTATCCATAATAATTAATAAACCAATTTCTCCTTTATTTATTCTACTCAATTTGGGTCTTGAGGGCAACCCAAAATGTCACACCCCCAAACCGAGATGGCGGAAACATTCGGGGGCGGAGGACGTCATGTACAGTATCATAACAATGCATAATAATAAAACAAGCAACAAAATCCATTACATTAATAGAATAGTTAATACATGTGTGTTCTGTGAGTAGTTGTAAGACACCAAAAATATATCAAAATAAAAGACGAGTCTTGAACATGCTTCGTCTTCTCAAAATCTGGTCCAGTGTACCTGTCTACTGGTGACCTGAGAATACAAGTTATTTTGAAAGAGAGTATCAACATTTAAGTTGGTGACTTCATAAGTATTTAATGTAAAATGTTTGTGTTTGTTTAGTAAAATGTTTGTACTTCCCAGAAAATCCTATATTTTCTTCTAAAAACAAAAGGTAGTCTTCTACCCAAGACCCGACTATTTTGTATGTTTGTTCTCTTGTAAAAATATATGTTTGTACTTGAATTAGTATAAAATGCAAGTTTTCCATATTTATAAGATAAGCTACTGATGCATTAACTACCTTGTAACCAAAATGGTTAATTTAGGTTAAATGTGATTAGGTTATAACCATGCTTGACTGACTAGTTTAAAACACGACATTCTTCAGGCGTCGAAAATGGTATGACATTCGTCACCCGTAGACCTGCAGGTCCCACTGTAGCTAGCAGCAAGGTGTGGGATGGTCAATCTCATATAGATCAATACACAAACTCACGCTCTCCCTCCAGGAGACTCTGGTTACAAAACGTGACATAACAAGTATATTGCTATATCATGAAATAGTATCTCACATTTTAGTTATCTTGTTCTTGTTATGGTATGTATGTTCCTTCTTATTCTTGTTATAGTATGTACGTATTGACTCGTGTATGTTTCTCTGATCTAGAAATAATGTGTAGTGATCCTCTAAACTATACCTATTATAGTTTACTAGCATGTTTGTTTGACTGTTACTGATTTGTAGAAAATACTCAATTGTTCAACATAAGCAACTGAGTTAAGTATGTTCCTTAAAAATGGGGGTTTAAATATTCATGTATATATTTTAATAAGTATAACTATGACTTAGCCGACAGTCGGACTAGTGATCCTACCCTAAGCCCACAAGCAAACAAGGAACAGGAGTCAAGGTAAAGTCTGTTAAATCATATTTATACTTAGATATATAAATGAATACGATTTTGATAATAAAAGCAATCTAAGATAGTTTAAAAGAGTTTTTGAAAAGATTTTTAACAACAATTATAAGCATAAGAAATCTTTTTTTGATGTTTTCATATGTATGTGTTTAACACAGTTATATTGTGTTCTACTTGTATTCTCCCCCCTAAAAAGCATTTAAAAGCATTTAAAACTGTTATTTGTAGGGGTATGAACTCACCTTGTGTGAGTGATACGATTGAATGTTCGATATATGATGATTGATTCACAAGCTAGTTCCCGGGACAAAACAAGTCCTAAATAGCAATTTATGCAACATATTGGCATGAAATTAGTGAATATAACCTCAAAGGTATTAAGAAAACAACCTAGGATGCAAGAAACACTTACAAAAGAAGCGTTAGAATCAAAATCAAGTGGTTGTAAGGAGTTCACGGCCAAGCTTCGAAGGGTTCACGATCGTACACGATTCACGGCCCAAACTTCTTGATGAATGATGAAGATTCAAGTGATTTCGGCCTAGAAATCCCTAGAATGATGATGAAATGATGAATGTGACATCCCCATTTTCTTGGCCAGAAAAGACCGATTTTGTTTATGCTTTATAAAAATCAGAGTACCTCTTTTAATGAAAATGTTGCGGAATTTGTTCCCAGAAAAACATGATAAATACGTTATGAAAGCATTTCCGAAGAAATGTATTTTTATTCATTTTAAAACTTTGGGATGTCATCGTCAAGACAGAAACATAAGCATAAACAGAACTTACATTCATTTACACTAGTGATCTTTAAATCTCTCAGTGTAATGTAACTTCATATCGACACCTGTGATACAAATAAACTGAGTGGGTCAGGTTGGGAAACCTGGTGAGTACATAGGGTTTTCAACCCACAATAATATAGTTATTATGTTTAATCATCAAACAATTAACCCAATTACTCATCCCCATTATCTTATTTACTCTTAAGGATCTACCCTAAGAATCATCTATTTCTTGTTCATTCGTTCCTAAGGATCATCCTAGGATAGGCCGAAATCCATCGTTGCAGGATCAAGGCCAGGGTT